GGGGTATTAATTACAATATTGATGGTATCTTTGTATTAGTGGTATTAATTAAACTATTGGTGGTATTTTGTATTAGTGGTATTAATGACAATATTGATGGTATTTTTGTATTAGTGGTATTTTTGTATAAACGTTTCTACGCGACTGTTATGCTCTTAGAGACCCCGTATCCAACAAAATGGACCAACAAGAAATTTGGAACATAAATAGTTGAAAATGCGTTTAAAACATTTGATAGGATCGAACCCCATCTGTATTTCTAGGATTAAAGGTACTAAAACTTCTAAAAACTATAAACATATAACAGAAATACGAATCTTTCTCTAATAATACGATCTTCAATATACTTATTGTTAAAAATAAGTAACAAGCAAGAATATACGTCTAGTTAATTAATTAGTTCCAAATCTATTAATTAAAACGGGTAATTCTTAAATCACAACGTCAAGTAAACGAGGATATTCTAGTTCAATATGTTTCAATTTATAATATATCTATATATTTTGTGCAAGCCATTTATATTTCTATAGTTAAACAGATCGAACTTTGTGATATGTAACTGCAGAAGTAAATAACATACAAATATCTAACACAAAGTTACAAATAAATTATGTTTATCATTAGTTGTTTGGAAGTTACACATATAAATATGTATCGCGTATTAACATGATGCTAGTTAACAATAATAAATTTTTCAGTGCACTGTGATGTTAACGATGCATTTCAGACTTCCGGACTTTAACCTTATAATATGAAACACCGCGTTCTTATTGGTCATTAAAATTTTCATCACGACCCCCCGGACAAATATCGTAATTCCGAGTCATGTCAGTTAGCAGAAGGTGAATGCCGGGAATAATGCATGCAAATATAAAAAACAAAAAACAATTAAACTTCTATTAAGCACGGGCTTTTAATCATTAGTTGTTTTTCGAAGCTTTTCAAACGTAACAGACATACAACAAAATAATGTATGTTGGTGCTCTTACTATTAGAATCGAGAGTGGACGTCGTCTATCAACTATTTTTGGGGAAACTTCATTTTTCACACTCTTATCTACACTGTTATTTGTCTTGAAGTAGTTTTTGAAAGGTTTGTCGTTTTTTTTATCTCCGCGTTGTATAGCCCTAAAAATTCACTCCATACACTATTTTATGCAGGAACCTAACCGAGGGGTAGGGGGAAGGAGGAAATCGGTACAAGTAGATGAACATAAGACATACCCACTCACCTCTGTATAGTGTCACCAAAGTTCAGACGAGTGGTTGTCTCAATCTCAGGTTTAATAGTAAATAAGCAAATTAAAAATAGGGGGAAAATAGCCTTTCGGTATGAAAGAAGTTAATCTATTTAACTTCCGTGCTGTTTTCTCACTGAGGAGAGATCACTTCTGTGGTGACGTATATACTCGTGCCGTGAATGGTTCTGGAATTATATCAGCGCCACCTTTGCCTAAAAATTAACCACACACTCCTCACTACATGTACGATTCCTCCATGATTCAGCTTTTGACAAAACAGCAATACGCAACTCTTATTATGTGGCGCATGCTCAGATGTTACCTCTATGCAGAGTGCCGGTACTTTACAGTGCGTGTGTTTTGGGACGTTTGTTAACCGTAATGTTTAAAGATATAATACTACTACACGAACATTTGTTAACCGTAATGTTAAATATATAATACTACTACACGGACGTTTGTTAACCGTAATGTTAACATTTTCTGTTGTTGTTTTTGTTTCAGAATTTCGTGCAAAACTACTCTAGGGCTAATTACGTATAGCCTTCTCCAAGTTTGGAATTGATAGGTTAGAGAGAAGGCAGATAGTCAAAATATCCAGCACCTTCTCGTGGGCCATTCTTATCTGACCAAATAGT